GTGGGATTTGTGTTGCCGCGTGGGGCGGGGGGGGGGGGGGGGGGGGAAAAGGTGGCTGGTAGGATATCCTTGGGTGACCTGCTGATGCTCCACAGTGTGTTGAAATCAAATCAGGCAAGCAGTTCTCTTGTGGAAGGAAATAGCTGTTGGACTACCAAAATACTTTTTGAGGAGTTTAAAATTGTCTCACAAGTGCTGGTGTGTTATTGTGAATGTCAACATAAGCATATACTTTACTGTGATGCTACTTTTGGGAAGACATGCATTTGTTTTTGCCTCTGATTACTGATGGAAGATTTTCTTCATACAAACACTTTGTTGTAGCAACTGCCTACTTATTATTCATATGACTGCACATATTTACACCTGGAAACAACCACAGGTATCTACTGAGGTTGCTGAGACGCTCCACTGGGATGCTTGCCAGTTCTATTGGCCACTGAAGTGCAGATGTTGGGCAGCAGGAGTACATGATGCATATGTAGTACTTGCATATTTATTTTCCTAGCCAGTCTAGAGGTCAAAAACAAGTCACTTTTAACCTTAGTCCTGCCACGCTATCACTTGGGTACTGTAATGTTTCGATAAGACACTAATCCACATTATCATTGAGATCATGGTGTATTAATTAAAGTAGGAGCAATGTATGTAAACAAATTCTGCAAAAAGACCCAAAGCACATGGAGAAATATCACTCTGAGCCACTTCATTGGAATTAAAATGACTTTGATGTGTGTAAATGTTTTTTATGTCGGCACAGACTGTCAAGGTACACTGACAGTTGCTGCCTGAATATGCCAGAGCATTACTGAGTTAATGAAATAAGTAGGAGAAAACCAAAGTTTAATTAAAACACACCGGTGCTAATAGTGTTTTGATGCGTTGGGTACATTATTCAGATCAAACTGTACAAAGTGCTGCCAGCCCAATAAACAGTCTAATTGTTTTTGTCCAGAATAGAGTTGCCTAATTAATTATGCAGAGTACTGCAGTTTATACAATTAATACACATATTGTACAATAGCATTTCTGCATTTTTTTTGTATCTTATTCCAACAGATCTGCTTGCTGCCGAGATGCAGAGAATGATTTTATTTTAACTGTGTGAGTCATGAATGTTCAACGTTTAAAAAAGCAATTAAAACACTCAATGAAATGTGTACCACAGGGGCTGTAAGTAGACATGCTTTATACTTTCTGTGCCTATATCTATCAAAATTAAATACTTGCTATAAATTAAAAAAAATAATAATTACATTGGAAACACTGATGGCCCTGTATTCTCTGTGCTGCCCTGATGTAGGCATTAGGCAGGAGCTCAGGACTGCTTTAGCTCATTTTATTCAACCTTTATTTTTCAACCTGGGAAAGTTGACGGAGCAAGCATTCTCCGACACGCTGCTCCCAGCGTCCTTTATTGTTGGCCAGGATGCAGCTCCACTGATGGAGCTGGGGTGTTCAGGAACCTTCCACCTTTATATGGTCTTACTTGGTCTTACTATGGTCTTACACACCAAGAGTTAGTGTATTTTGTAACGAGCTGTAATTTACATATGCTGCGTTTCTACTATTGGAACCTAACAAGCGGTATACTCAGTACTTCGTCCTGCATGGCATCCCAGGTTTGATGTAGACCATCCTGCTTTGTTTTTCCACTGTATTTTGTCTCTGTCGGGCCTCTGTTTAGCAAAGGAAGGGGATGCGTCTCTCTCACACGCAGTCAGCTGAGCACTGGGAGAGTAGACATCACTCCACAGTGCAACAATCAGCTGTAAAGGGAGACTGTACGAGCAGTTTATCATACAGTTGTTGAACAAGCACAACAAAAACTTTCATAAATGTGACGTCTTCACCACTTTTCCCACAGTCCACTCACTGAAGGCCCTGACAGGGACTCTCCATTTTGCCTGCAAGGCAGTATAAGCAATTTGTTTTTGGTACAGAACCAAGGCAGCTATCACACACACCGATGGCGGTGCAGTCCTGGCCATTGGGAGCAACTTGGGGTTCGGTGTCTTGCTCAAGGACACTTTGACATGTGGACTAGAGAGAACGGGAATTGAACCACCAATCTTCTGTCAGGGGATGGCTGCTCTACGTCCTGAGCCACAGCGGCCCCATATTTAACCAATCACAAGGTGACTGCTCTGCTCTGCACACACCCCTTCCTCCCTCACGTTCCTGGAACTTCACTTTAGTCCTACCCCCTGAGGGATGGCAAAATTTGGCTCCCAAAACGTACATTCAAAGCGGGCGCACTGCAGTGGAAACAAACGCAGAACCTGTGACCAGTGTTAATTGGATCAACATGTTTCGGTAGGTTCCCATTATGCCCTATGTTTCGTTTCCCTTGCTGTTCCTAAACTAGCTACGTTTCAGAGAAGGATGTTCAACAGCCACTTGAGCAGTGTTTTTGTGCTATTCTGAATGTGAGGTTGAAGTAAGGTTTGGCAACAGCAAACACTGTTATGATGTGTCATGTCTTCTTGCTCAGATAATATTAAAGCTGTTGCCATCTATTTCAGATCATCAAAGAGTTCAAGGTTTTGCTGCGCTGCACAATGTTCTGCTTTGACTTTCCCCCCCACTGAACGACAATGTGAAATGGTGGCTATAGAAAAAGGCCTTAAGAGCAATTTTAATAGAACTTAAAAATAAAGTATTACATTTTGTGGCTGAGCTGAAAAAATGTCTTAGTGAAACTGTGTACATTTAGAAAGTTACTCACAAGAACAACAAAATGTACCACCAAACCAAACGGGCATATTCTGTGTGTACTAGTCTAGTTAGTCACTTTAGTTTTAGTTTTTGTCCAGTGTTACAGCAAAGTGCTGCACCTGTGTTGTTTTTCATCTGACCTGACAGACTGGTGATGGTTTTTAGTGTAAATCTTTCCTTTAAGAGTCGTGCTCAGGAACATCTGGGTGGTAGCTGTTGATGGGTCGGTGGAGGAATTTGAACTAACACCTTCTTAGTATTTCTTAAAGGTGTAGGTGATCAACGTATTTCTGTGTCAGGACTATTTCCAAGGTTAGTTTCACTAGGTTTCATTGTCGAATAATAGCTTTTATACGTTATGCAAGGCCAGTTGCACTGCGAGTGAATAGTTTACATTTTGCAGCTGTGGAGGCAGCCATCCCGTTCAGACCGAGTCGGGATGGACCTGGTTGTTGCTGCAGACTGTCTTGTAGTACGGGGCTGAACATGGCTGACTCTGGGTGGGACACAGTGAGACCTAAGAGTGACAGTCACAACATCCAATCAGTGAGGTTAAATTAACAATGTGATGCGCAGCTTGTCATTAAGATTCAGAACACTTTTTATTTGATTTTAGTCTGTGCCGTTCCCAACTCGGGGATTTATTTTGTGGCTTTGAGCCTGGACCAGGCTGCAGCTGAACACCCAAGTAAAGTGCTGAGGCAGTACAGACATAGATATATTTTTAAGAGTTTGTCTCTGCACCCTTTTTCTGTCTGATTTATAATGCATAATTCTGTTGATTACATAAGAGCTGCAAATGAATTACTAAATCAGATTTGTGAAATACTTGAGATTACAGCTGATACAGTTGTATTTGAACTGTCATGTAGTCCAGCATGATAAATGGATTGAATAAAAAAAATAGTGTATTTAAATTGGCATAGAATTTCTATTGTAGCTCTGTGGTGCACAGGGCTGAAATAGTCACTGTGCTTGAATGTCAAGAAGTTGAATTGAGTGAAATTCATTGGTCAACGGATAATGGAGAAAAATAACAATAACTGATTGTTTTTGAGCAACTTGTTGGATATAAACACTGAGCTTTTGTGGGCTTCAGCCCAACACAATGCTGTATTTACAGTAGCTGATGACTGTTGAACTTGCTTTTACTGTCGACCAGCGCTTGAAAGATAAATGAAAAATTCTTGTTTCCCGTGAGCTGTTAAATTTGTAGACGGGAGGGAAGCAGTTTTACTGAGAAATGGCTTCACAGCTGTTGGTTTGGATTTATTTTGCGAATGACCTCTTGGCAACTCTTGAAGAATCTCCCTTAAGCCATGGCTCGCTCTTGGCCCAGACTCTGAATAAAAAAATAAACTGCATGTTTTTCATATTCCATACCTAAAGAGACATTGGATCATTGGAGGTCAGCATTTGAGTTGTGATTAACGTTTCTTTTAACATGCATCAGTTTTTATTCTAACCAGCATTGATGAGAATTGGAGGTGATGTAGCAGCCTGCTGTTTAGGTTACTACTGTAGGTCTTGTCTACAAGTCTTCCCCCCCAGTGGAGGATCAAGGTTTACGACCATCATATTGTTTTCTATCGATGGATTGTTCTGGGTTGTAACCGGGGTGGGAGCTCGGCATCGTCCACTCACCACCCATTCCTGGCTGAAAGTTGTGTGTTTCCACTGAGCTAGTCCACCGTCCATCCACTGGGAGGTCATGCTCTTGTATAAAATATGTATTTGTTCAGTAGAATTGTGATTCACCTTTGTGTTCCCATCTGTCTGTACTTCAGCTGCATCGTACATGGCATTAGAGGATTTCTATATTGATTTTTAAAATTTAAGTAAAGTTAGATTGATGCATTTTTGTGTGTGTGTGCGTGCATGTGGTTGTTTTACGTTTGACAGTCCCTCCACTTTTGATCACAGGCTTCTTCATTGGGTGGTGATGATGGTGAAATAGATGAGTTATATAAGAGACTTTGTTTTGACTGCGAAGGAGCAACTGGAAGATGGAGTAGGCCAAAACCCACCCGACGGTTTATTAACTGTGAATTAGATGTAATGAAACTAGGTCTAAAAAGAGAAGCATGGCTTATGTAACTCCTGCTGGTGGCCCTTTTTATTCTAGAACTAAAGTTAACAGATACTTAATTCATTCATCATGACACATTTGACTCCCTTCTGTCTTGTCTGACTTTTTCACGTCCTCCACTTTTTTTTTTTTTTAAACTGTGTCCTTGTCTCATCACTCTTATTTGTTTCACCTCCTCCTGTCCGGCTGCCTGATTTTGTCCTCGCCTCTCTGCCACATTTTTAATGTCTCACCATTTAGTCATTTCTGGCTCTCCTTCTGACCTTCCCTTGAAATCACCTATGCATCATTCCTTCATCCTTTGTATTCTTCCTTCTGTCTCTCCCATTCCTCTCATTATAACCTCTGAATGATCCCGTTATCCCCCTTCTAACGTCTACCTTTCTGTTAACTGCAGACCCTGTGGTGCTGGGCAGAGCGTTATGGCTCAGACACTGCAGATGGCGATCCCTAACTTTGGCAACAACGTCCTGGAGTGTCTGAACGAGCAGCGGCTGCAGGGACTCTACTGTGATGTGTCCGTGGTCGTCAAGGGACACGCCTTCAAGGTTCGCAAATTTTTGATTTTATTATTTTTTTCTGTTCTTTATTCAGAGATGTTTTTGTCGTCCAACTGGGAGCTGCAGTGTGAACAGTCCTCTGTTGCTGCTTACTGAACAGCTGCACTGCTGTAATTGGTGGCTAATTGATTTTCCAGAGGAACTACTTCTCGTCATTTCTCTATTGCTACCTTTTACTAGTACTTCACTTTTATGGGACTGGGCCTGTTGGTCAATAATATTTATAACTTTCTATATAATCACTTTTGTTAAAATGAGAGAAAGAAGAGGCTGTAGTAGAATTAGATTTTCAACTGGTTTTAATTTGAGATTTAGATTTCAGACTAAGCAAATTCAGTCATATTTTAACACCGATTACTGATCCGTCTCCTGCTGTTTGCCCCCCAACCTCCCAGGCCCACCGCGCGGTGCTGGCAGCCAGCAGCTCCTACTTCCGGGACCTGTTCAACGCCGGGGGAAAGAGCTCGGTGGTGGAGTTACCCCCGGCTGTGCAGCCGCAGAGCTTCCAGCAGATCCTGGCTTTCTGCTACACGGGACGCCTCAGCATGAACGTTGGAGACCAGTTCCTGCTCATGTACACTGCTGGCTTCCTCCAGATCCAACAGATCATGGAGAAAGGCACAGAGTTTTTCCTCAAGGTAACCTGATGATGGAAAAATTGAAGATGAATCCAGATTTAGATCTGTTGGTAATAAGTAAGTAGGACATTTAAACATGAAAAGACTTTGAAATGGTTTATAATCATGACAGTAAAATGAACCAGATATGGATCAAATAGCCTGTTTATGTGCCGCCTCTGTGGCACCTGCTGTGCCGTTATGGATTGCACTATGTTGTCATGGGGGTGTCTGTGTTTGTGGACACATTCTTGTGACTCAATAACTGAAACTACTGACACTACAGGTTCCTGCTATAGTAGCAGGTGATCTGATTAGATTTGAGGTGCCTTGCTGCATAAATCTGCATATTATTGAAGAAAACCGATCCAGAGCTCCCTGTGGTGCTGCTGCGGTGAACACAGCCCCCCTTAGAAATGTGAAGTGAATGCAAGTTCATGTACAGACCCTGTAAGTGATGACCACAAGCATGTGGGTGTGTGTGTGTGTGTGTGTGTGTGTGTGTACTTTCTGTAAAACCTTTTCTATGTGCACACCGTTTCACACACACATACGTATGTAGCCTGACTATGCAGAACACTTTGTGTATTCACTGTGGGTTTACATTTATAACTTGCCTGCAACAGAATGTATAAAACGAACATCTTTCAGATTTTAAACATATTATTTACTATAATGAGTAAATAGAATTTTCAGTGTTATTGGGCAAAAAAGACTTTCAAGACTTGTGTAGATCTAATAACCACACATTTTTACTGCTGCAGTCTACAGTTAGCAATTTTTTAAAGAACTAGGTGATGAATAAGGTGAAACGATGCTACATTTCTGTACTTGGCAGTTTTTTTTTTCTGCTCAATGCTTCAGACACATTTCAGTCGATAGTACTGAGGTCTGATAACCAGACCTATTTAGGGTGATGAATCATGATGTTTTAAACCTGAGCAAACATGAAATGAAAGCGTGTTGTACTGTGTACGTCTTCATAGGTAATGGTGAACATATCCAAACTTGAATCCTTCCGTTTATCCCCAAACCTCCAGGTCTCATCTCCAAGCTGTGATTCCCAGGGCCTCCACACTGAGGAGACCCCGCCCTCTGAGCCTCAGAGCCCCGTCACTCAAACTGTGGGAGGGGGTGGCGTCGGGGTCGTCGCCACAGCTGTGGGAAGGCCCGCCTCTTGTCTGACGCCCCTACCTCTGGTGTCTAAGGTGAAGACGGAACATACGGCCACTACACCTCAGCCCGCCCCACAGCAGGTAGGATCCGGTTGGTCGCTTTACTGCAGCATGACGGCATAAAGTCTTTCTCTATGTGTGAATTATGTGACAGTCTGAAAATAAAATGAATAAATCTTCAGCACTGACATTGTTTGAAACGGGGCATCATGATGAGGTGTTTCATTAAGTTTGAGATTTAAAAAAGCTTTGACAGATTTTCAAGGAAAGTTCTTTCCCAGTAGCTCCAACAACAAACACATTCTGAAATGACTTACTAAACGCTGTGCATCAGTATTTTGACAAATGAAAGAAATATAGCATTGATGGTCTCAAAGCTTTCAGGCAAGGCCATAAATTATTTTAGAGGTCAGAGGTCATCATATAAAATTTGTGCAGTCAGACACTTTTTAAGAACTTTCAATGTGGTTGTCAAAGAGCCTTAAAGCTGAGAGACAAGTTTGTGTTTTCATTATGTTACCATCCATATTAATGAACTGTGGGGTTAAAAGAGCATCAACTCTGTAATGACTCATTTATGGTCACATAATGGTGGCTTACAAACACTGGAAGGATCTGTCAGTTTTCATTTCTTCAGTTTTTTATTGCAAAGAAAGTGATTTTTAAAAAGATGAAGGTATTGACGCACCTGCTGAAAGCTGGTCAACTAAACACTAATTCCAACATCCTGTATACAGAGCATACTTCAGTGCTGTTTCATATATACTTACCCACCCACATAAACAATGAATAGATGGGGGGGGGGTTAAAAGTGTACCTGTCTGGTCAGGTTAGTTACAGTCCAGGCAAAAAGAGAACAGAGAAACGTGTCATTTCTTGTGTTTCTTGTCACTTAATGTAAAGCAAAGCATCAGCTGGCTGCTCAAAAATAGTTTCCATGTGATGTCAGGCGCTAATCTGCATACTGTGTTTGCTGTAGTCGTCACTTTTGGAAGTTGGAGGCTGTGCTGCGAAAGCGGTGTTATCGTCACATGGGTTTAGATGAGGAAATAGCATCAGATGCACAGATTTGTCAGTAACTGACTCAGGAAACAACACAATGTTAACATTCACTGTTGATTGAGAAGATTCAACATTTGTTACTTTTCAGAGGTGAAATCTGAATTTTTGTTAAAAATAGCCCGGTGACCGTCTTGTTCAGCTCAGTTATGTAGTATTACGTTACTGAGCTTTTGATTTTCATTTACCTGCAGATGGAAAAACTGCATTAACGAGACATTTAAATGTTACTGTGTCAAAGGGGGAGCAAATCCAGGAGAACCATTTGCTAAAGACTTATTCCTCCAGTGCCTGGCCTTTAGTAAGTGAGCAGGGTAATGGATCTCAGTACCGTCTGGTAAAGATTGGACAGATCCTGGAGCAGCTCCTTGCATGTTCAGTCTCATTATTTGATGATTGTCTGTTTTGGCTCAAATACCAATTCAGTGTGTGAATTAGTGTCTGCTCGTTTGTCCTGAAGCTGAATACGCAGTATTTTATAGAAGTTGAACAGTGAAGGGACCAGGTGCACTTTATTTTATTTCAGGTGACGCTGTGGGCTACTCCTCCACTGTAATATGCTCCAGACTTATTAGCAAGAGTTCATTTCTGATGCTGCTTGAGAAGCTAAAAATCCAATTTGTGAGGTGGTAGCTGACCAGTGCTCCTCTCTCTGCTCCTCAGCAGGAGGGCTCCCCCTACTCTGTGGTCTGCACCCCCGTGGCCAAGCGGCTGTGGGAGGGGGGCAACCGTGATGGAGGAGGGGGGTGCAGAGGGAGTGGAGGAGGTGGGATGAGGAAAGCTGCACGCTACTCTTCCTCCTCCTCTTCCTCCTCCTCCTCCAACAACACTACCCAGGATGCCTCTGGACGCGGACCTGCAACCAACGCCGTGATGGTGGGCGGCGGCGGCGCCTCTTCAGTGGGAGGAGCTGGACTCAACAGTAACCATAACAACAATAACAACAACAATGGGGGGACCCCTGAGGGCATGAGCCCAGGCACACTGAGCATGTACACCAGCGACTCGCCCATCAGTTACCACGATGACGAGGAAGAGGACGACATAGCGGATGAGAGCGCTGAAGAGCAGTACAGACAGATCTGCAACATGTACACCATGTACAGCATGCTGAACGCCGGAGCAGCAGGTGAGCTCTGACAGCAGAGGTCATCTCAAGGGAATCTAAAGTTTTCGTTACTGTTTACAAGCATGACGGCTGTAAAGTTTATCCAAACTTCTCAGGAGTGCATGAACCACTGAAAGCTGTGCATCATGACTTGAGGTGGTTTGAAATTAAACATTCAAATCTCTGAATCTTACTGAGAACACAGGAGAAGGGAGCATAAAGTATCATCAACAATTAAGTATAAATATTTCTTACAAGTAACACGGTATCAAAACATGACTCACCTGGTGTTTGGTCATAAGGTCTGACGGCCCTTTACGTCTGGTCCGGCTTCAATTTGATAAGTAAAAAAAAGTTTCCTCTGGATGCACATGGCTCTCCACTGTCCTGTAGCTGAACTATCAGAGCTTGATGTCCAACCTGACCTCCATTCTCTAACGTTGACTGACTACAGTGTGAATAAAAACACTTCAAGAAATGCACCAAAGGACTTTAATACCTGAATGGAGGCAAAGGAGGAAGTGGAGTGTGATTGTCTGTGTGTTTGTCCTTTCAACACACGTTTTGGAGTGAATTATCACACTCACCTGATAGTTACATGCCACAAATGAAGTGGCTAGGTCATTTTACTGTTACAACATTTTGCTTCTCTATTAATGGATGTTAGCCATTTCAACATATCAACTCATAACAATTTAATTTGAACCAAACTGCAAATTGTGTTGCATGTAAATGCTTTTTATGTGTGCACTGCAGCCAGTCCCAAGCAGAACATGCTTAATTAACTTTTATCTAGGTATAAAAGTATTTGTAGAGGAAAAATTAATTAAGTGTTAAAACTATTAAATATAACTATATGGGTATCGGCCAAAATGTGTCTTTAGCACAGAGCATCAATCTGACATGGACATGTCTTTTTTGATCAGACAGTTCCTGATATAAATCAGACCATTTCATTTGGGCAAAGTTCTTGTGTGGCTGCTGTCTGACTTAAGATGTTTGACGGCTTTCCCCTGAAAAAAAATAAAATTTTCCTCAAAGTAAGGCTTTACATCTGCTTAGAAACAATTCGAGAAGATACCCAGCCCTGCAAGTATCCAAAAAACTGCTAACAGTCCATTGTCCTCCCTACTCAGTGGTTGGGGAGCGTGTGGAGGCTCTGCCAGACTTGGCCCCGGATTGTGGAGGTGGGCGGGGGGGCAGGGCTGGGCGGTCCCGACAGGATTTTTTCGCGGAGCTCAGCAGCCAGATTGGCAACCGCTGCCACCCGAAACTATACGAGGAGGGCGACCCGGCCGAGAAGCTGGAGCTGGTGAGCGGCACCTCTGTTTTCATCTCCCGTGCTCAGCTCATGAACTGCCACGTCAGCGCCGGCACCCGCCACAAAGTGCTGCTCAGACGCCTGCTGGCCGCATTCTTCGACAGGTCGGTGTCTGACAAGTTTGACCTATGAAACATTTGCTTTGCCAGATGTAGTCAGGGGAGTGTGGGGGAAACAGAATGTGACAGATGGCAGGTTATCAACTAGATCACTATCAGAGCACTGAGAATACAGTAAATGATTTGATAAAGCCCCATGTTGCTAGATTCAGTGTGACTAATAACTTTGACTAGATGCCTCAAGCCTTAATTGTTTGCCTCAGGCTTGATGCATTAAATAAATGAGGAGGGAGACATTTTTAATTAAGGACTTAAATTGTAGTTTCTGGCCTTCAAATACACGTCATCCCTAAAAGCAGTCTATGCAATAAGAATGTCTCTTAGCTGCCTTAAAATGTCTCCATGTCCGGCATCAGATTATTTTCTGTGTACCTTGTATCGGTTGCTCATGTATCGTGTTTGGGTTTTTTGGGTTTTCCTTCCTCAGGAGCACTCTGGCCAACAGCTGTGGAACCGGCATCCGCTCTTCAACCAACGACCCGAGTCGTAAACCCCTGGACAACAGAGTGCTGCACGCGGTCAAATGTGAGTCATACAGAGGCACAAACAGTCTCTGATACTATAAATACTGTGAGTCACATCTCTCTGAGCTTTTGGAGCAGTCAGTGTTCAAAGTTGCCCTCTACACTTTTAAGACACCCAGTCATCCTTTTGATTTTTCTTTCCCCATTCTTTTTCATCTTCTTCTATATTCCCCCCCTTTTCCTCCAATCCTTTCTCCAGTCTACTGCCAGAACTTTGCGCCGAGCTTCAAAGAGAGTGAGATGAATGCCATTGCAGCCGACATGTGTACCAACGCCCGCCGCGTCGTCCGCAAGAGCTGGATCCCCAAACTTAAACTGCTGATGGCCGACAGCGACGCCTACTCTGCCTTCCTGGCTGACAGTGTGAAGATGGAGGCAGATGCACTGGGGGCGGAGCAGGGTTTTGACCCCGCCTCCCTGGAGGCCGTGGCAGCGGCAGCGGCCGCCAACAATAGCAAGGCAGGAGGTGGAGCAACGCCAGCAGACGCCCTCCAGGGGGCAGGAGGAGACGGCAGCACTTTGTTTTGAGTGAGTGAACGGACAGATAGATTGATGGAGGGAGGGATGGCATTTCTCTGGGGTGCTGAGTAGAGAACGGAGGCCACTGTGGTCGTAACGACAGTTGTCACTCCTCACCTAGCGCCATGAGTTTGGGGACCTGTTCTTCTTCTGCACCTCTTTTGGTCAGTTTGTTCTGCTTTCCTTCCTTCCTTCATTTGTCCACATTTCTCTCTCTCTCTCCACGACCCAGAATGCCTCATTTGGGGTTGTTTTTCCTTCCTTTTCTGGTGGAGAGAGAAAGACAGAGAGAGAGAGGAAGCAGAGGGAGGAGGTGACAGTTCCCCCCCCCACCACCTCTTCATTCCTCTGCAGCCTTTCTAAATCTGATTGTTTTAGTCTTTGTTTTTTATGTTTTAAAAGTGTGTACTGTCACTAAGGCCCTTTTCCTTACCATAATCAATCACAGACGTTCCCTGGGAATGGGGGTGGGGGTGGGGGGATAATCCTGTTTGGAGAAAGTGATTTTTCCTTCCCCAAAGTCCGGTAACACTGTTGTCTTGAAATTGAATGTATGTGTGGTGCATCCGAACTGCAGCGTCAGTGGAGGCTGAGTCAGATTATACACAGCCCATTTTTATTTGTTTGTTTGTGTGTTTTTTGCTTTATTTCATCTGGACACCCAGATGTAAGCTTCTCCAAGAGCATGGTGTTGATGAGGTCAGGAGTTGAAATGAATAGTAATATGTATAATGGCATGGTTCATGACCTTCCTGACCTCTGCCTGACCCCACCAGCCTTGCTCTTTAACCCCCGACGGGCATGCTGGGAAACTGAACCACCAGATTGACAGGGTGGTGGCAGATGGGGAAAGTTTAAGATTTGCTCACCCCTATAGAAATGATGTTTCTGTGTTTAAATGTTTTCTTTGTGTGCGGCTGTTGCCGAGGTTGCTGAAAAAGAGGAAACTTATTACTGATGATTGTTTGCGAGAGATAAATGCACTGTGTTATTTTCTGCGGCACAAGTACAATCGAACTAAAGTTTTTGTACGTATTAGAAAGAGGGGCGGTTTTATTTTAAAAAAATCTTTTAAAAAAAAGAAGAAAAAATATTAGCTGAAATCCAATTTTTATCTGTTTGTCACCAATTTTTTTAAAATCTGAAGGAAAGTCAAGAATTATCCAAAAGCGAGTTTCTGTGTGTGTTTGTGTGTGTGTGTGTGTGTGTGTGTGTGTGTGGATACAGCAGCACTGTTGTTTTGTTGTCAGCTTGTGTTTAAATGGTTTTCACTAAGAATATTCACAGCCATGCCTATTAGCAGCACGTCTCCTCGGGCTCTGCTGCCTGGATGCGTGCTCGCCTGGCATGGACAAAGGTGCTAATTCAAGCATTGGTACATGGCAAGGAATACAGCTCTGTGTGTGTCTGTGGAGGTGTGACTGTTTGAACGACCACTGAGCCTGTGTGCGTGCTGCAGTAGAGAGGGAGAGTGGGAGGCCAGACGGCATGTTTTCACACGCGCTTGGTGAATTCATTCACCCATCACTGCGGTGAGCACACATTCACGCTAATACGCATTTGGGCGCTGTCAGCTGCATCAGCTACAGTATGCCGAAGCAACTTGGGAATTACACTGAAGCAGACCTGAGAGGTGGCTCTTCATCATGTGTGGGCAATCAGCTAAAATGTATTTTGTGTTTAATGAGGCTACAGCAGATCTGATGTAGAAGTTGCAGTGCACTCGATGAAAGTTCTGTTTGTTGGTTCATCAGTTATGTTCTTGGCCTTATGTGAAAGCTGCTAATAATTGGAACTGATAGAAAAATGTTGGCATAGAAACAACCCTGAAAGTTGCATTGCAGACATATTCGCCTTTGATACTTGGGTCACTGAATGGTAGCTTTTGAGAAAAAAAAACAAGAATACACAACTAAATGGTTTCTCTTGAGAAAAATTGACCTCCAGAATCCACAGTGCAGCTGAATGCACTCATAAGCTAAAGAGCTTTTTGCTCTTGTTCAGTTTAGAATGCAGAAGCTCCAGGTGAATGTTTTGATTCAGTGCCACTCATATTTTGGCTCTCGGAGCCATTGTGGTGTTTCAAATGAATACTCAGATCCTCCTTACACCAGATTTTAGTTTCAGTTTAAGCTCTGTCTCTGTCTTTTAATCATCAGATCAATCCCAGACAATCAATATGTAAAAATCAATCTTTCTTATAACACCTGACACATCTGTCTGTTTGGCACCGGAGAATGAAAGGGCTAATGGAAGCATTAGTGTGAATAGCATTATACGAAAGCTAGCCAACTCTAAATTTGTGTACTCGGTTTGTGTTCAATTAATTTGATCAGTGCCCATTAGTTTGTGTTTTGGAGATCAACACAAAAGGGTAAAGCCTGTAATTTTTTCCCCACAGCTGGCATAATCTGTGACAGATTCAGATAAATCTCTAATTCTTTTAGGCTGATGTCAGGCCCAAAGTACAATGAGTTGTGTTAAATATATCCAGGGCACACAGGCGGTTTATTACCTCACACCAAAGTGGGATAAGTCCGTGTGCGCATTAAGGTTTGGACAAATCGAGCCTGAGACCAGCACAGTGGGCATCTAACCCACTGATGACCGGTGAGGTCTCCAGATTGTCAGATGTCAGTCACTGTTGTATGAGACAGACTTTAATTTAATCCCACTAATTAGACGTTGATAACGGTGCAGCTCATCCTTTATGCTCTCAGCTGGGCTTGAAATAAATTACTGATGGTATTGATGACACTGAGTCAATAACAGCACATACTGGATTGAACCCATCAGTTATGTTACTGCAGGATTCGTCCAGAGATTCTCCAGGTAAAACTAGCTCTTTTTTACCGTAAGGTGTTAAGAAACTGACAAGGTACCAACAGCCATTTATTAGTTTTAAGGCAGCACATTAAAAAAGGATCCCACTTTATTAACAGGGCTGTTATTTATTAGTGTTCTTTTGTGTTGTGCACATAAATACATATAATGCACATTGAGTGTGGCACTAAATGAAAGTTTGACTCTGCTGAATTTTGGGGAAAACGGTCAGATTGGAATCGGATTTTGTTCCTATGAAGGTCTTAAATGATTTTAGTCTAGAACAGTGTTGGAGACACTTGGAGACCCGCGTACTGTACTGTATTGTTGTGTAGCCTGAAGATTGTCTGGCTGCTTTGGTGCATTTGGCAAAACCTGTGATAACTGGTGGTCACATTGTGCGTTTAGACACTTAGATTTGAAATGAAAGTGACGCAGCTGCTGTACAGGCGCAGCCGTCAGCATTCCATGTTTGATTCATGTGACAAGTCACTTACGTCTGCATTTAAAATATTTAATCCTTCCTGTTTTATGTCCCACTTCTTCCGATGATAAAGTTGCAAATCTGCCAGGACCAGCAACTACATTAATGCATTGGACCGCTATTGTTACGAAATCCTCTCTTAGCAAACATGTAGTACTTTTAAATCATGCTAATCTTGAAGAGCAATGCTTTGAAACCCAGTCAGGAAAGGATTGTATGTTTTTTATGAATATTTGGCTTGTTTTTTTTCCCCCCTCATAAATAGAGGAAACCTCAAGCACCTTATTACCAGTGTGGCATCAGAAATAAACAAGTGGAGGATATTGAACTGCTTAATCACTGCCACAGTCTTATATTGATGTTTGGCTTTGCATACAGAGTTGCCAGTGCGCTCGGAGGAATTGGTGCATTGTCCTTATTGCATTAAGTAATGAACGCTGGGGAGGACTGAAGTCAGTGACGACAAAAATCTCTTTATTCACAGAAGACAAAACATTCTGGGCCACCCAGCCTTCATCAGTGTCACAATCATACAAGTACATCCAGGTGACTCCCCTTAAGGAAAGAAGCTTTGCACCTGACAAGGCAAACGAATACACGGCAACCAATGAGCATCCAGAATTAGAACAATAGAGCTTGCCTCACACACAGACCCCCAAGTTGAAGGGACTGTCATTAAACCGTCTTTTAAGCAAAACCCAGATTCGAGTAATCAAACACCCTGGAGAAGAACCAAAAAGCTGGCTCGGAGGTGTCGTCTCAGCTGTAGTGAGCTGAACCCGTTTTGTAGAAAAGTGTTATAATAAATTCGGTTTCCCAACCTGGCTTTTGGGGAAAGATGTTTACATCACTATTTGTTGTTGTTTTTTTTTGTTTGTTTGTTTTTAGTATGAACATTTTAATGTATATAAAGTCTTTTTTTAAAAGAGATTTTTTTTAGTCTATCAATCAAAGAACTGTTGGTCACAAGACAAACAGCTAAAGGGCAGAGCACGAAGTGAGGTGGATGGTAAGTGGGGTTTGTGTTGCCCCGCCCTCGGTTCCAGAGCACACGGTACAATCAGTGGAGACTTAACCAAGTTCAGTGACTGAGAACAGATGCGAGAAGTGTGAAAGAGAAAGGAAGGTGAAGGGATTTGGGGGTGGACAGGGAGGCAGGGGAGAGACTGAGGAGACAGTTTGCACATTATCACATTATTGTTCTGTTTTCCTTTTTTTAAAAATCTTTTTTTTTTTCCCAGTGCTTTGTTTAAACCCGCCGCCTTAAATGAGAAAACGGTTCAGAGAGAGAGAGAGTGGAAAAAGAAGACTAGGGGGGGGGGGGGGGGCTAGGATGCTTGAATGATTCAGTGTGAATGCATGCGTGCATACTGGTGTGTATGTATGTGTTTTGTGGCAGGGTGGGTTTGGGAGCTGTTTGTAAAGGCTTTGTGTGTGTGTGTGTGTGCATCTGTGGGCAAACATAGTGTGTGGGTGTGTGTGTGTGTGTGCATATTAATGTATGTATGCAGTTTTTCCCCTCCTCACTTCCCTCCATCTCCATTTATGGCATGTTAATGTCTGCCTCCTCACTCGAAAGTTTTTTGACAGTGGTACTGTGTGTGTGCGTGTGTGTGTGTGTGTGTAGTGCGCATGCCTGTGCCAGGCTGGGTCTGCGTCTCGATCTATGTGCTGCATACGTGTGTGTCTGGCTTTATGCGACGACTGCGCATGTCTGTCACTGTGTGGGTGGTTTGGGTGTTTGGCTCTGCAAGGTCTGTATATGTATGTATGTGAGTGTGTGTGTGAGTGAGAGTGGGTGGTATGTGCGCAGAGGTTGAGATGAGTGGCTGTTTGTTTTTGTCTGCCTCAGAGAGCAGCCCCCCCCACCCCACACACACACACACATACACATCTGCAGTCACACGGCCACACTCGCAGTACAGAATCTATCTGTGCCGTATCAGTGCTGCAGATATATTGTGGTCATGTTGCACATTAAGGCTGCAGCTCTGTTGTTCCTGGTTGAGCTGAGATGTAATCATTTCAATGTAAAATAGACTTCAGACAACGCAGAACACAAGTGCTTCTATCAGCTGCACTTCTCAGATCCTCAAATATCCAAATACTTTTGCACGGGACAGCAGCACGACTGCACCCAGGACACTTTTTACCTCCGTCTCTTGATTCCCCCGCTCTCCATCGTCTCCATTCTCTCTACTTTTCGTTTTTTTATTTTCTTTGTTTACATCTCTCTCTCTGTCTCACTGCCTCTTTATGTATACATCTCCCTCTCTGCCTTACTGTCCTTCTGAAATCTCTCTCCCCACCACACACACACACACACACACACACAAGGAGCAGCTAAGTAGTGTTCGTCCCTTGTTGCTTCATTACGTGAACCCTCATTTTCCATCCACTGCTGCTTCGTTTTTGTGTCGACTCCATTTTCTTCACAGAATGCAAATCCCTGCCAAACTCTCACCCTTTTCCCTGTGTGTGTGTGTGTGTGTGTGTGTGTGTGTGTGTGTGTGTGCGAGCTTTTGCTGTTTACAACAGCAGATGGGGATGCCAAATATGTTGCTGCATGTGTGTGCATACATGTGAGCTATTCAAATGCAGATAAATGGGCGGAGGTATGTCTGACCAGGCACCTCAGTGCTGTGTGTATGTGTGTGTGTGTGTGTGTGTGTGTGATTGGTAGATTTCACATCTTTATTGCACCTTTAATAATCAGACTACTGATGAGGAAAGTCTGTCTGTCCCTATATTCCAGTCAGCGTCCATGTGAAAGACGCAGCCAATCATGAGGTGAATATTGACCAGTCTGTTGAACCAAGTGGGGCTAAAAAATAATTATGATCATCTTAGACTTGAGCAGTGAAGGGGGGTGGGGGGTGGGGTGTTTGTTAAGAATCTCCCAGGACAGATCAGGCATTGCGGCAGTCTGCCGTCACATGAGCGAAGCCACAATCCAGACAAAGAGACAGGAGAGAGAGAGGAGACTGACAGGGAGGAGGAGGAGGCGACCGTCTCTCTCTGTCCGTTCCACCAAGATAAATACCTGGGAGCTTGTTTATTTATGTATCGTGGCATTTTCCAGAGGGGTGGGGTCTTGGGCTGAACGAATAAACTCTAGATTTGTATAATTCCCTCAAAATGACCCCAGTAAGAAATGCAGCCACTTAGTGGACGCGAACGGGGATCCAGATGAAGAGTAAGGCTTCCAAAGCTTTAGTTAATATTTGTCTGGAGAACAAGGAAAACCGAGCTTTGCTTTATTTTTTTTTTTCCCACAAAGTAAAATTACACCAAATATTTGTAAATGAAATGTCTATGTCCAGAAAGATGTTTAGCTGAACGGTCCACCCTGCTGTCCTCTGAAGATTTATGATGATGTGAAGATGTTGCTGCAGCTCTAGAGGTGATTTGGCCTCAGCTTGTTGTCAGTGGGTGTCACGTTGAACACCATGTAAATCTTCATCTATAAATGAGAGTTACACGCCTGGAACACAATGGATTTATGAGTGAGTCGGACATTAAGAAATACTGTGGACACAGTATACGTCATATTCAGCAGGGCAGTGGTTCCCAACCTTTTGTGCCTCTGGCCCACTACTGAATACAAAATCAGTCCAACCACAATGTTCCCTCATTTGATTATTTTATCACTAGTTCAGAGGATTAGTTTATTTAAATAGCCGATTGACAGAAAATTTAATTTGATAATCTTTAAAATCACTTTGTCGTTCCAAATGTAAATATTCACCTGTTTTCGTATACTTGTATGATAATAAATTGAATATCTTTGGGTTTTGAACTGTTGGCCAAACAAGACAGACAATCTAAAGAAGTGTGGTGTACATTTATACAATTATCTGATATTTTATAAACCAAACAAGGTTGTGAAAAGAAGCAGTAGAGTAATCAATAAGGAAAATAGCTGCACCCTAGTTAAATTTATCCAGAATTTTATAACAAACACTAATGTGTCATATACATATATATATATATATCAAAATTTAGTTTTATCATCTGGAAAGGCCACAGGTAGGGAACCACTGTAGTAATAGTGTTAAATCCCAGTATTGTTTTTACACATTGTCTAAATGTGGGCTTTTTTTTTTAACAAGTACAGAGTCAGAATTTGAAGGTTTGTGGTGTCAAATAAATTTGTCCCTTCAGCAGAAATGAAAGCGAGTTAAAGCCGATCCCAGAAGCCTCTTCAGTATTTGGCTCTATCTGTTTAATTTCCTCTTTGATTTGGAGAAAACACTACAAGCCAGTAGTTGAGTGCTACTGAGAGGATCAGTAAAACGTGGTCAGCTTGGTAACATGGACTGCATATCACATATATTTTTATTTTTAATGAAATATAAAACTTACCAGTGACCTTTGACCTTTCTAAAGTCATCACGGGTTGCTTTTGCCTTTTTGTAGGGCAGCTATGTGTGAGCACAGTTTTCTGACTGAAGGTTGAGCGGGGCCAGAGCAGGTGTGTTTTTTTTGTTTTGTTTTTCAAAGCGATACAAGTTTGGTCATGCTTTTTAGAAGAGCTTTGCAAACATTTCAAAAATTTTTTTATTTTTAGTGTCATTTTCTGTTGCTATGTTTTTGTTTTCTACATCTAACCTAGTGTACTGTAGTCTTTAAAAGTTATATTAATGGCAATGCTACTAATAATTGAACATTAACACCTGTAGAGCTGCCAAGTGTGTGTAAAAAAAAAAATAATAATAATAATAATTTCCAAAAGAGAAAGTGGAGACATGGTTAGCTGTAAAATAGTTTAGAGAAAGAGAACTACATATTTTTGCATTGCGATTGTCATATGAATGAGTTGCTGCAGATGGGAGGGTTGAGGTTTTAATGCTGGACCAGAAGTTTGGTTTTTACTGTACTGCAGCTGTTGTTGGGATGGGATCAGGGACTGCAGACCGGCAAACGGACTGAAACCAGTGGACAGTCGAGGCAAACAAATCAAATTGCTGTCGAGCTCATTTCATTTTAAGGCTACAAGTTCAAAATGTTTGTTTTACTAAAAAAAAAAAAAAATCTTTTGATGGATAAAATCTTACTCTCGGGTGTCTTGTGAAGATTCAGATACATTTCTTGAGCCAAGTTTTCATAAACCTACACTAGAAATTGACCCAAAGTTTACTTGACCTGGTTCTTGGACCAGCTTTTCCACAAAGAATAAGCTAATGCTGCTTGATTTTGTTTTCTTTAAACGCCACCTGGTGGCTGTATACAGCTACAGCAGCTCAGAGAAGTGGGGGGGCGGCTCAGCAGCTGCAGTAACTGCCACTGCCAGCAGAGGGCACGATCCCAAGAAGCAGTGATCCTACCCAAGCTACTATTGCAATGAGAGTCTCGATCACTGTATTCGTCTGAGCACCTTAACAGCAGACGGCTGGAGGCTTCTGCTGCTCATTGTACAAATCCAACACAAGACACACAACAGCCAAAATGTCTACTGCTTGTGGGCCAAGATGCCAAATAAAGTTGTCAGCAGATTGAAAGTTGCTGACAGGACTTCCAAAAGAAAAAAGGCAGCAGCTGTTTGAGCTTCGACTTGTCCGCTCACAAGTTTGTCTGTGTATTTTTCTCCTGATCACCGTCTTAGATGACGATGCACAGACAGGAACCAAAGTGACGAGGAGAGAGTGGGAGAATCTAAAAACAACAAAAAAAGCACCTTTGGGTGAGCGCTCAACTGTCTCGGAGAGCCAGCACCCTCTGCACCTTTCTGAGCACGCTCACTTTGTCACTTCCTGTCTGTGGTTTGGATGCTGTAGTCAGTGGGGCATTTGTTGGGGTTTTTTGGGGGG